GAAATTTTTTTTTTTTTTTAGGTAATTCAGGGGGAAGACATACCCCTATCTGTTTTTTCAAGTAGATTAAGAGTTAGCTTTTTTGAAAGTATTAATGAGGCTAATATTAGTGGTGGGAATGAAAACCACATAGTGATGAAAGGTGTGCCGGTGCTACCACCCTGACGCTAGCATCTTTCCCAAAACTTTCGTGCATGTCTTCTTGTGCACCCTTTTGTTATAGAGCTGCCCATTAAGGAATGCACATCTTCTTCTACACCCTTTTACTTAATACAATAGTTAACTTTTTCCAAAAAAAAAAAAAAAAAAAATACCCACAAGAAAGCATAACTATATCATCACATGAAGGGTGTGGTTTCTATAGGGCCGAGGCCCTAGACAATCAAAATAGGGCATTCCTTCAAATGAAGCCAAAATATGTTGTTTCAGTATCATAAATCTTTGTGATGGCTAGAAAAGTTATTTTCATCTCTAGTTATAAAATTTAAAGCTTTAAAATCAGTGCAGATTCGGCATATCTATGAATACTTAAAAATCTTGAAAATTGACTATCCAAATATACATTACAAGATGTACTAATGCCAAAACGTGAAATCTATTTTTTCTCAGGTCCATGCATCTTGAGGTCGAGATGATCAATTTTAGGATTTTTGGGCGTCGAAACAATCTTTTCCAGTGAAATTTTTGAGGCGGGACTTAATTTGATTGTTTAGAGCCTCGCACTTATATAAAATTTTTCCTCACCTTAAACCAGCGTTTTAAAAAAACGCCGAGTCGAACCAGACTCGCCCGGTTCGACTCGGAAATCGCGAAAAGGGACCGGATCGGTTAAAAAATCGGAAATCGTCCGGTTCTAGAGAGAACCGGACAATTCCGCACAGTGACTCGCTGATTCACCGTGCGGAATCGGCGAGTCCGTGAAGAACACGGGTTGCACAATGTTCTTCACGGGATTCTTTGAAATTTGTCATTTTTTTATCATTTTTCTTGTTTTTTTTGGCATGTGATCTGATTTGCAGGCTGTAAACAGCTTTATTTAGCTTTTTCAAGGATTAAATGGTAGAAAAATTTGTTGTTTTTGGATCACGAAAAATTTGGTGTTTAGGGTTTCTGCCTTTTCTGAAAGTTTCATGCCAAATAGGGAATGAATCTTTCAAAATTTGTCGGCATTTTGATCTTAAAGCTGTGAATCAAAACCTTTTGTTACTAATTTGTGATAATCGTTGAGAAAAACAGAGTTTTTTGGAGATTGAAGGCTTCGGTTCACAAAATCAGGTAAGAAGTTTGGGTTTTTTTTTTTTCCGCCATTTGATTTTTTTCACGGCATATTTTGAACATAATGAGTTCAATAATTAAGGTTTTTAATCTTTATTGTGTCTAGTATGATTTAAAATTTTCAATTTTACGTAATCTGGTCAATTTCAACAAGAAATTTGATATGAACACTGAGATGTCTGCGGAACCAAAATTCCACTGTTTTTTTTTTTTTTTTCCGCCTTTTGATTTTGTTTTCATGATATATTATAAATAATGTGTTAAAAATTTAGGGTTTTGATTCCTTATATTGTTGTTTATCAGAAAATATACTCAATTGGATGTAATTTATTCACTTAGAGGTGAATTTTTGAGTTAAAATCGCTTATGTAAAATAACTCTGTGAAGAACAGAAATTATTATTATTATTTTTTTTTGTAACCCATGATAGAATTTTTTGTAATCCATGATCGAATTTTTTGTAATCC